GTGATTCTATGGATTTTCCTCTTCTTTTTCAGCTCTAGCTAACACTAAAACAGCGCTCATGCCTCAACTTCCAGAAAAAGGAGAGGAAATGCCATGGGCAGAGGAGCACAGAAGCAGAACACGGAGGTGAAAGGCTTTTATTGGACAGCGATGGCTTACCTTTCAGTCTCAGCAAAGTAAAACTGCTACTATGCTCATATTTTCCTACACATTTGCAAACAGCATCTCCTATATATAGAAAGCATAAGTATCTTTCATTTACATTTTGTGCTCAACACACAAATCTAGAAGTTTATTCACCCAGGAGAAAGAGCACTAGATCTGGGGTTTAAATCCCATCTCTGCTACTTACTAGCCATGTGACTTGGGGCAAATCCCTTAACCTCTTTGAGCATCAATTTGTTCATTGCTAAACTGCAAGTTATAATACCTACCTCATCGAGTGTGTGGAAAATCAAAAAATTGACTTGAAAAATTTTCATTAGACCAATTCTGAGGCAAATGTAACCTGCACTTTACAGATTCACAGAGAAAACAAGTGCAAAGAACCCAAGTGACTAACCCAAGGTCACACAGGAAGAAACGGAAAAGCCAGAAATTAATCCCATCAGACTCCAAACACTCAGCTGTCCTTCCCCGCCATGGCACCGATAAATTCCATGTTCCCTGCTGCCATCTCTTTTGGGCTCTCAGATACTCAAAGTTCTTCCAAGAAGAGCTCTTCTCTCCCCACTGGCCTCAGGGCCTTCCCTCCTCACAGCTGTGCAGTTAACTAAATAGGCCACATTGACTAAGGACTTGATTTACTGACAATAAAAATAAACATATCTATAAGTCAGAAATGGAGAAGACGGGATTTAGAAGTCCAGTGATGCCATGGCATGTGGCATGCCACTGGACAGCCAGCCTCGGGGAATGACGGAAGGGCAGGAAGACTGATCAGGCACTGTGTAGGTCTCTAATTCCAAACTTTCACTCTTCCTACTGACTCCTCATGCTGAGGTTTGTAGGTATGTGAGCTTTGTCCTCACCCTGGGAGTTTACATTCCAGTAGGGTGGAAAACACGCCAGGCGCATGTGTGTGCGTGCCCAAAATCCTGAGTGGAGTGTGGATGAGAAGGAAATGCAGGTGGCCATGCCCCATGGAGGGTGATTTCTCACTTTCCGTCTCTCTGTGTCTCTCTCTGGCAAATGCACATGCATTATGGTAAAACAAACAAACAAACAAAAAATCTTTTAAAAAGTCAAGTAAAATGCTTTCTGCTAACAGAAATCCAGAGACTCTTTTCTAATCATTAAAAACCTGAAATGCCAAGGTGTAGGGTGAGTAGACAAGGCAAACCACTGAGAAGGCAACAGGAAGCCCTAAAGCCGAGGAAGGACACATTTTAGTAAAATCAGGTTTTGTTTCCAATTCAATTAGTTCTACCCATCTGTCTGGATGCTCGTCCGTCTGACACTGATAATCACTACCAGTGCTAAATGACGATCACTGGGTCGTGAAGGGCAAGGCTTTCCTATGAGTTTGTATCTGTCTGTTTATCTGTCTGTCTATGCTGGTATTGACTACCTCATGAAAACTCACTATTAGCTAAACAGTTTTACTAGTCTGAGTTCATCTTGGAAATTCTGGTTTGTCAGGATCCTAGATTCTTTTTTTTCTTTTTTATTTGGGGAGGGAGGGTTTGCTACAGGGCACGTGCGCTCGCCAGAAAGACAGAGAGCGACAGAGAGACAGAAAGCGAGAAATCCCCCCCCCCAGGGGAGATGGCCACACCACAATCCCATCTCCTCCATTCTCCTCTTGGGATCTTGGGCATGCACGCACACGCGCCCGGCGTGAATTTTAAGCCACCGGGTTCGGGATTCGAACTGCGGTCAACTATATGGGAGTCCAGCGACATAGCCATTACGCTAACTGCTGGTCCCAGGATCCTAGATTCTGAGAAAGTAAGAAACAGATCCATTATTCTAAGGAAAAAGTCCAATAGGAATGTGGCCACTTTCTAAAACGTGAGATTCCATCAAACTCTTATACCAGAACTCCACACCCACCCAACCCAAACTCAGCTAGGGGGAGTGGGGCTGGGGCTGGGGCAGGGACTCTGGAAACAACCCTGCTTCTCCACCAGGGGCTGCTAGAAGGAGCCTGCAAGACTGAAAAGAGGCAGCAGCAGTTTGGCCCAGAGGATCAACAGGGCAGCTTCTGGAGATGTGCCTGCGCTGGCAACTCAGTGTCCTCTCCCCAGGGTTTGGGTTCTTGGGATCTTCTAGGCGGTGATAATCCCAAATTCTTTCCTGTGCTCTCCCAATCCTACAAATGGTAGCTGTTTCCTATGCCCCCTCCATGGTCCTGGTTTACCTATTTTGTCCTCCAATACCTGTTGCATTGATTTCTGACACTGAATTAGCTATTGAAATAACTTCCGACGTCTCTCCTTGGCCGACAGAATCCAACTAATACATCTTCGTTTGCAACAGTGCTGAAGAGAGCAGATTCTGAAGTCAGTCACACTGGAGTGGGAATCCCAAGCCATCCAAGTTCCCTGGTAACTTTGGAAAATTCTGTTCACTCTCCTTGCTTTCAGTTGTACATTAACACATACCAATCACCTACTAAGCGCCAGGTACTATGCTAGGAAAGAAATACAATGGCATGTAAAACAAACTCCCTGGTCTCCCAGAACATCCTGTCATGGGAATTAAATGAGAGTGTGCAAGTGAGGGAATGACACGGCGCTCACACCTGTCATCAGCCCTCTTCTCCACGCCACAACAGGAGGGCAGAGACCTACGAGTCTATGAGACGCATGTCTTTCCCCCACAGGGCTGAAGGCCTGGCAATAAAAGCCGAGGATTCAGGGGGTGCACCATCCATTCCTTCTGCACAGAGCAAAGATGCAATGACCCTGCAGCAGCATTCATTTGGGAGCGGGAGGTGTCAAACCAGCCCTACAGAGGGCACACCACAAGGGGGCATTTTAAAGAAATCCCAAAGAAACAGGTTCCAGTGATACTAAGGAACATCTTTGCTCATGAAAGCCACAATACAGGGCTAAGGCTAGAGTCCAGGATGACCATGAAGTGTGAATGGAAGAGGATACCAGAAAGCTGCTATTCCAACAGCAGTCATGACAGTCTTTTTTTCTTTCCTTTCCTTTCCTTTTCTTTTTTCTTTTCTTTTCTTTTCTTTTCTTTTCTTTTCTTTTCTTTTCTTTCCTTTCCTTTCCTTTCCTTTCCTTTCCTTTCCTTTTCTTTTCTTTTCTTTTCTCTTTTTAGCCATAGAGCATGTGTACCCAACAGAGAGAGAAAGAGGGAAAGTGAGAACTCATCCCCGGGGGTGTGCAATCCCTTCTCCTCCTTTTGAGTACACACTTGCACACACCCAGCATGATTCTCAAGGTACCAGTCCAGGACTCGAACTGCAAAGTTGGTCGTGTGGGATCCAGCACCTTAATCTCCATGCCACCTGCTGGATCCTGTCAGTCTTTTTTTTTTTTTTTTTTAAGAGGTTTTTGCTAAGTGAGCTCGCCAGACAGACAGAGAGAGACAGAGAGACAGAAAGCGAGAAATCACCCCCCAGGGATGATGGCCACGCCGCAATCCCTTCTCCTCTATTCTCCTCTCGGGATCTTGGCACGCACATACATGTGCCCGGCGTGAGTTTTAAGCTACCGGGTCCAGTACGTGAACCACAGTCGACTACGTGGGAGTCCAGCGACATAGCCATTACACCAACTGCTGGTCCCTATGTCAGTCTTTTTAACATAAAAAAATGTATACATCAAAGGAACCGAAACTTACTGTATTTCTTCTGTAGCAGGACTATCTACCTAGAAAAACCAGAGAGATGATAAAATGGAAAGGAAAGATTCCAGATTCCATTTAAGCCCTAATCCAAAGATCCCAGGGTGTGGGCAAGGAAAAGCTGGAAAGACTTCTAACTGCCATGTTTCAGTACAACCCATTCTTGGTCTTCTGCCTTCTAGACATTAGACATGTCATGAAAAGGATGACCAGTGTTCTTGTTAGCAAGGAAGTGTTCCTGCAAGATTGCTGTCTATCTGAACTCTTGAAAACCATTTTTACAACACAGTGATACCCTATAAATGCAAACCAAACTCCTCACTCTCAATTTTTTACTCCTTTAGACATGACTGTGACCATCAAAAGTCATACTGAAGGAAAACCACCATGGGAAATTATTATTAGAAAGTCTATTCCACATCTTTGCTCCAGGGTCTCATTATAAATAATTTCTGTCATTGAAGGAATTTAGAGTTCCATCAGGCATGAAAAGCCTGGAGAGAGTTTTATTCATAAATAAATGCCAACACTTAAACAATAAAGACAGCTTCAAACTCCAGGACTATTGAAATGAACAATATGTACTGCCTGGATGATTTACTATGGTTGTATTTATAGACCAAATGGGAAGATAATTCAATTCCCCTGAAGAGTCATTATATGGCCTAGTGCAAGAGAAGTACTTCAGATAAGAGGTAATATTTCTCAGTTTTTCCATTTCCAACAAATTACTGTTTCTGTATTTCGGACATCACCCAGGCAATTCCTTGCATGACTTATGGCACTCTGGAGCAATTAAAAAAATTTATAAGGTAAGAAAAGTAGGAGACAAATGCCAAATTCAGAATGATCCATCGAACACTGAAGAACCCCCAGAGAGCACTGACGCCTCAGCGTCAGGAGGTGAAATTACCCCTTCTGCTCAAGAAAACTTAAATGAGCAGTGAGTGCACATCCCATCAAGAATATTATTACCCAGGAGGAACAGTGGCTAAACACAGATTCATCTCCAAACAAGCCTCCTAACAGGCGATGTGAGCACAGAGGTACCTCCTAATGAGACTTGGCCAAACGTCCCCACGGTGGCACATGGTAGTCCTCCCCCTTACCGCACACTCAGCTCAGGCATGGAGTAGAACCTGTTTCTAGCACTGGCTATCAGAGCAGCCTCTGGAATTCCTGAGCTTACATACCATCCAGGCCATTGTGATGACTGTAGTTTCGTTTCCCCAGGATGCTCAGAGATGTGTGATTCGGAGTGGCCAGCATTCGCTTGGTGGTTGGAGTGTGCAGGCTTGGTGTAGATCGAATTACATTGGGCTTCTTTGCAGGATGGATCTCTGACAAGGGAAAAAAGGTTGCTTGTCTCAAAATGTGGTATTAAAATGTGTGTGCGCTTACACTGGCTAATATGCACACCTCTCATTTCCTAATGAGCTGAGAGTCAGCTCCTTATGAGCCAGCCAAGGACCTGCATCAAGACAGCTTCGAGTGTGGTTGCCATGGCTCTGCTTATCAAGTAAACTGGTTCTTCCCCTGCTGGCTGGCGCTCTGAGCCTCAGGTTGTGAATACGAGCCAAAATAAACAACAAAAAAGGCACTTCAGAAGGTCACTTTGAACAGGAGCTTTACTAAAGGAATAAGACATCTGACTCATCAAGGTATTAGAAATCAAAAGGTCATTCGGAGAGCAAGCCTCAGAAAAAGCCATTTCTGTACTCTGCCCAGCCAGGAACATGCTTTCTGAAAAACAAGATTCCTCCCTTGGCCCATGACCAGGACGTGGGAGTGAGGTCAATCTCTCCCAGTACTAGAACATTTTGATATAGATGAAATCTGAAACCAAAGTCCAAATTCAACAGACAACAAGTAGACAAAACACTTTGACCAAGGATATATCACAAAACTGTCATGTGGCATATGGGTGTTAAGTACACTGCTGTCAGCCACACGGCCCAGGACTACTTCAACTTTTTGGGTAGATGGACAGAAATTGCTATACTGTAGGAACTGGATTTAAAGACCTCAGTCCATTTCTATTCCTGAACTACCTTTTCTCCAAAGCTTACCTAGCTTACCATTCTCAAATCATCACCCAGCATGCCAACTATGTGCAAGCATCCTGTCTTCTCACTCTGCCACCCACAGTGAAGGCCGAGATATCCGCCTGACTTACTGTAATTTACCAAGAGCTATTAGGATTACCAGGATTACTAAATCTTGGTCTGATCAAAATTCCCTACTTGTTGCAATTTAGAAATGGCTTAAGTACTACCCAAAGATCAGTGATCTAAAAAGTAAAACAAAAACAAAAACAAACCATGGCATTGAAAGTTTGCCAAGTTCATTTTTCTTCTTAAAAAAAAAAAATGCCAGAGAATGTGTGCACTCACCAGAGAGGGACAGAGAGAGAGAAAGTGAGAAAGCATCCTGCTATAGGGGATAGCCAATCCTTTCTCCTTCATTTCTTTCTCTTTTCAGGATTTTGGGCATGACATTCGGCATACTTTTCAAACCAGTAGGTCTAGGATTTGAACCGTGTAGACAGCCATGTAGGATCCAGCCACCTGATCCACCACACTACTGGCTGGCCCACCAAGTTCTTTCTTCATTACAACTTCCACATGCTAGGCTCCATGGAAACCAGATGACCTGCCTGCCCTAGGCTTCTCAGGTCCTTGGACTCAATGAAGACTGTTCATCTGGTTCTCTCGGCCTCATGAGGGGAGAGTATTATTTTCTTACTTTCTCATTTATTCACATCCTGCATACCTGTCAAGGCAGAGGCCAATCATCCCTTTGCTCCGGTAGGCTGCCTAACCATCATCAAAAGTAGCCATTCCTTCCTCCAAGCATCCAGTGAAGATTAAAATTTGTCATTCTTTCAAGGGCTCTAATCCTTTGTTTTGTTGTTCTTTCCCATGTGTTTTCACTAGACTAAGAGTTTTGAGGGCACGGTCTTATTTACCTCAAATCACTTAGTATAGTATCTTGAAATTTTTTAAAGAATTATTTTATTTAATTTTATTTATTCATTCATTTTATTTTAATTTGACCAGAGAGAAACAGATAGAGAGACAGTGAGAAAGCAAGCTGCCAGGTCTGGGACTTGAACCATGGTCAGCCATGTGTGAGTATCCAGCACCCCAACCACTATGCCATCTGCTGGCCCCTGAAATTTTTTGTTTTGGGGAGGAGAGGTTTTTGCTATAGGGCGTGTGCGCTCGCCAGAAAGACAGAGATAGAAAGCGAGAAATCAGCCACAATCTCTTCTCCATTCTCCTCTTGGCATCTTGGGCACTCAGGCACATGCGGCTCGTGTGAGTTTAAGCCAGCGGGTCTGGGACTCGAACTATGGTCAACTACATGGGAGTCCAGTGATAAAGCCATTACGCCAACTGCTGGTCCCAGTATCTTGAATATGATACATGAAGTATACTATCTGAATATAAATATGTTGTTCAGAGGTGTGGTTCAGCCAATCAGGCCAGCATAGCTCTGGGCTTATCTGACAGGGAGAGAGACAAATTGGGACTCATACACAAAGTTAAATACTCATGTGCCACATTATGACTTTTTCGTCAGTGACAGTCAATCCACATTTCCGAAGGCAGTCCCACAAGATGAAACCATATAGCCTAGATGTGTAGTAGGCTAGGTTGGCTTAAGTACATTCTGTGAGGGTCACACAACAACAAAATCACCTAAAGCACTTCTCAGAAGATATCCTTGTCATTAAATGATGCATGACTATATATATAGTATTATTTTTTGTCAGAGTGCATCCACTCGCTGGAGAGAGACAGAGAGAAGGAAAATGAGAAATCACTCCCCCAAGAGGGATGGCCTTTCTGCAATCCCTTCTCTTCCATTTTCCTCTTACGATCCTGGGCATGCACACACATGTGCCTGGTGTGATTTTCAAGCTGCCAAGTCAGTGGCTCAAACCATGTGGGAGTCTAGCATTTTAGCCACTAAGGCACTTGCTGGCCTCTGCATTCTATTGTTTATTATCAGAAAACTTCCCTTGTAAGGTGGAAAGGGGTTTCCAGAAGTTGGTCCCACAAGGAAATGCAGACAATGTTTGAGGACAGCATGGACATGACCTGCATCATGCTTGTGATAACCATGTGATATTCTGGGGGACACCAATGCAACTTCTTTGGCCATGAGGACTAAAACCAGAAAGGTAGCAGAGTAACACCAAAGTAAGAGCTGTGACCTCTGACTCCTGGACACTCTGATGAGGACCAGATAACATACCAAGATCAAAGCCACACTTCAGTTTTTATAAACTGGGTATCTAAAGTCTCAACACTTAATAACTATAAATCTCTCTCACAGAACAATAAAGTTCAATGCAACTCTGAGTACTCCATTTTTACCGAGAAAATGAAAAAGAAATACTAAAAGCACAAAATCATGCCATTCTAACTTCTAGATATATGATAAACCATTATTTTGTAACCTAACTTAAGATTTGCAAAATAAAAAATAAGAGGTGGTTGTCTAGTAATTATTTTCACACTGAACAATACTGTGCCATGTAAATAGAACTATTATCTTTGGAGACTTCCAAGTTAGAAGGCATGGAAAACCAGAAAGCAACATAATGCTTCTCTTTCAAAGTTACCTTAACCGACACATCCAAACTGTATTTTTTTTAAGGTAGGTTAAAGTGAGTTTGATCTCTTTTAAGAAAATAAGCCCAGGGACCAGCAGATGGCGTAATGGTTACACTGCTGGACTCCCACTTAGTCAAGTACAGTTGAGTCCTGGATCCAGAGGCTTAAAACACACTGGGTGTATGTGCGTGTGTGCCCAAAATCCTAAAATGAGACTAGAGGAGAAGGGATTGCGGTGTGGCCATCCTCCCTGGCGGGTGTCTCTCTGTCTCTGTTTCTTTGTCTTTCCAGCAAGTGCACATACCCTATAGCAAAAATCTCTCTCAAAAATAAAAAAGAAAAGAAGCCCAGCCTTGTGGTACAGTCTGCAGACTCTGAACTACAGTGCTGGAAGCACATGGTTGACCACAGGCTTGGATCCCTGGCCTAGGTGATCTGAAACAGGCCAGGTAGGTTTGCACACCCGAGATCCTGATGAGTTGAAGGTCTACAGGAAGGAGAGGGTAGGGCAATGAGATTTGGTCAAGGAAGCCCCTCTATCCTGCATTCATGACACTGACATTTTTTTAAAAGAAAGCATGAAAAGATCTAAAAATGTTTTTGGACTCTTCATCTTCTAAGTAATTATTGAGTGATTTTTATTTTCCTTAATCTGTATTTACTTGCATAAATATACATCCCATTTTTATTCAATTTGGGGGGATAAACATATATCCATCACTGTATGTTGGTAATAGAAATCAAAGTTCCTAAAACAAAATAATCTGACTATACATATGTGAATGTATCCAATTTCAGCTATTCGGAAGGCCTGAATTTAGTTTAGGATGTCCATTTGGAAAGGCCAAACACCTGTAACACAGAGCAATTGTTCTTTGAATTCTTTCTCTATTAGAAAAATACCCACCTAAATACCCAATGATACATGCCAAAGGTTTCCTAGTGCTTTTGCTTTTCAGTGGACTTCCAGAGAGTTCAGCATGTCTGTCTGCATCTGAGGAGAGAAAGAAACATGGAGACAACGAATGAGTATGTCTCTGCCTACACCACACACACTGCAGAAGTCACAGGTGCAAGTGGGAAATAGCACACAATGGCCGCCCGGCTCCTGCGTCATTTCCTCCTGGGTTTGAGAAAACCGTTTCTAGTTCTGGTATACCGAATGAGGGCCTTACATGGGAAACACTCACCTGAAAGCCTCAAGTACAGTGAATTGACATTTTACACACACCAGCTTTCTCAGTGTGCGCCCTTCTGAAAAGTTCAGAGAAATATGCTTCCTTTCTGTCACAGCACTTCTCCATTAGAGAAGAAGGGCCCCAAGGTACAAAGTGGAATCAGTCCTGAAATGGAACTAATGTGGTATGGGAAGGAAGAATGACAGCTAACAAAGGCACCATACACAGCTATCCCAGCCCTGATGAAGAGGCCCCTCTGAGAAGTCTCAGCCTATCTTGGTAAAACCCAATTTTGTTACACTAGCGTCTCATAAAAGTTGTGACAGCCACATGGTTTTTGTTTTGTTTTAAAAGAATTATTATTTATTTAAAATTATTTGTTATTATTATTTTTTTAATTTGACCAGAGAGGGACAGAGAGAGAGAAAGGGAAAGTGAGAAAGCAAGCTCCCAGGTATGGGACTTGAACTGGGGTTGGCCATATGGGAGTCCAGTGCCCCAACTACCATGCCAGCTGCTAGCTCCCAGTCACATGGTTTTACCACTGATTTTCAATCCCTCATATCCAACTAAGATGTCATTAGTGCTGATTTTTTTTTTTTTTTTGAGAGGTTTTTGCTATAGGGCACATGTGCTCGCCAGAAAGACAGAGAGACAGAAAGCAAGAAATTGTCCCCCCCAGGAGGAATGACCACGCTGCAATCTCTTCCCCTCTGTTCTCCTCTTGGGATCTTGGGCATGAATGCACACGTGCCCAGCGAGTTTAAGCCACTGGGTCCAGGACTCAAACCACTGTCAACTACGTGGGAGTCCAGCGACATAGCCATTACACCAACTGCTGGTCCCGAAATTTTTTTAAAAATTGCCTGTATGCAGACAAAACATTTCATCCAACAGTCAGAACTGTAAGATACTGTGAGGATGGATAGTAGCTCATAAAAGTTTCCATCATACCCTATCATTAGACATTTCAGACAGGAAAAATAAAACAAACAACACAAGCGCTGTGTGTTTAATTCGCTTTCATTAACATGGAGGAGCTAGGGTGCTATGGCTGCCTCCATACAAGAGTTAGGTAATAAAAATAAAGTTTGAAGGGACAACATAAAATTTATTACTGCAACTCTTTTTTAGTTCACCAATATTGTCATATAGCATAAGAGTGGCTTTAGCTGACATAATTTTTTTGGGGGGGAGAGGTTTTTGCTATAGGGCGCATGCACTCACCCGAAAGACATAAACAGATAGAGAGACAGAAAGCGAGAAATCACACACACACCCCCCAGAGGGGATGGCCATGCCGCAATCCCTTCTCCTCCATTCTCCTCTCGAGATTTTGGGCACATACGCACACGCGGCTGGTGTGAGTTTAAGCCGCCGGGTCCAGGAATGGAACTACGGTCGACTACATGGGAGTCCAGCGACATAGCCATTACGCTAACTGCTGGTCCCTAGCTGACATAATTCTACTACATGTATGCTTTTACCCTACTTTGAAATATTTGACAAAAATATTCTACAGGTTTTCTGATTCCAATAGTGAATTTTTCCTTTTGCAGGCTCAGATTATATTTCTAGGCATATATACAGGCAACTGCCTTTAAAACATCCACAGAAATTCTTTTTTTTGGAGAGTTGTTTTTGTTTGTTTGATTGGTTGTGTTTGTTTTGTTTTGTTTTGCTATAGTGCACATGTGCTTGCTGGGGTTGGGGGAGAGAAAGAGAGTGAGAAATCACCCATCAAGGGGGATGGCCACACCGCAATCCCTTCTCCTCCATTCTCCTCTCAGGATCTTAGGCACGCATGCACAAGTGCCCAGTGTGAGTTTAAGTCACTGGGTCCAGACTCGAACAGAGGTCACTGTGAGTCCAGTGACTTAACCATTACACCATCTGATGGTCCCATCCACAGGAATTCTTTGTGCTACCAGTGTTCAAATGTATAATTCAATCTGAAACATCAAATAACATAAACTTTTTTATAGGTTCCAGTCCTCTCTTTCAACAAGGGAATTCTTCACTAAAAACCATTCAACAGAAGGTGGGAAAATAGCATTTAAAGAGAGCCTCAAACAGCAAAAGCAAGCTCCCAGGTATGGGACTTGAACTGGGGTTGGCCATATGGGAGTCCAGTGCCCCAACTACCATGCCAGCTGCTAGCTCCCAGTCACATGGTTTTACCACTGATTTTCAATCCCTCATATCCAACTAAGATGTCATTAGTGCTGATTTTTTTTTTTTTTTGAGAGGTTTTTGCTATAGGGCACATGTGCTCGCCAGAAAGACAGAGAGACAGAAAGCAAGAAATTGTCCCCCCCAGGAGGAATGACCACGCTGCAATCTCTTCCCCTCTGTTCTCCTCTTGGGATCTTGGGCATGAATGCACACGTGCCCAGCGAGTTTAAGCCACTGGGTCCAGGACTCAAACCACTGTCAACTACGTGGGAGTCCAGCGACATAGCCATTACACCAACTGCTGGTCCCGAAATTTTTTTAAAAATTGCCTGTATGCAGACAAAACATTTCATCCAACAGTCAGAACTGTAAGATACTGTGAGGATGGATAGTAGCTCATAAAAGTTTCCATCATACCCTATCATTAGACATTTCAGACAGGAAAAATAAAACAACACAAGCGCTGTGTGTTTAATTAGCTTTCATTAACATGGAGGAGCTAGGGTGCTACAACACAAGCGCTGTGTGTTTAATTCGCTTTCATTAACATGGAGGAGCTAGGGTGCTATGGCTGCCTCCATACAAGAGTTAGGTAATAAAAATAAAGTTTGAAGGGACAACATAAAATTTATTACTGCAACTCTTTTTTAGTTCACCAATATTGTCATATAGCATAAGAGTGGCTTTAGCTGACATAATTTTTTTGGGGGGGAGAGGTTTTTGCTATAGGGCGCATGCACTCACCCGAAAGACATAAACAGATAGAGAGACAGAAAGCGAGAAATCACACACACACCCCCCAGAGGGGATGGCCATGCCGCAATCCCTTCTCCTCCATTCTCCTCTCCTGATTTTGGGCACATACGCACACGCGGCTGGTGTGAGTTTAAGCCGCCGGGTCCAGGAATGGAACTACTCGACTACATGGGAGCCCAGCGACATAGCCATTACGCTAACTGCTGGTCCCTAGCTGACATAATTCTACTACATGTATGCTTTTACCCTACTTTGAAATATTTGACAAAAATATTCTACAGGTTTTCTGATTCCAATAGTGAATTTTTCCTTTTGCAGGCTCAGATTATATTTCTAGGCATATATACAGGCAACTGCCTTTAAAACATCCACAGAAATTCTTTTTTTTGGAGAGTTGTTTTTGTTTGTTTGATTGGTTGTGTTTGTTTTGTTTTGTTTTGCTATAGTGCACATGTGCTTGCTGGGGTTGGGGGAGAGAAAGAGAGTGAGAAATCACCCATCAAGGGGGATGGCCACACCGCAATCCCTTCTCCTCCATTCTCCTCTCAGGATCTTAGGCACGCATGCACAAGTGCCCAGTGTGAGTTTAAGTCACTGGGTCCAGACTCGAACAGAGGTCACTGTGAGTCCAGTGACTTAACCATTACACCATCTGATGGTCCCATCCACAGGAATTCTTTGTGCTACCAGTGTTCAAATGTATAATTCAATCTGAAACATCAAATAACATAAACTTTTTTATAGGTTCCAGTCCTCTCTTTCAACAAGGGAATTCTTCACTAAAAACCATTCAACAGAAGGTGGGAAAATAGAATTTAAAGAG